CTGGTGTGATTGGTCCCAACCCTGGGAAAAAGGGGGAAAAAACAGCTGCTGTCGCCCTGAGGGAAATGGTCTAGAAGTGGCTTAAAAGGGGGAATAACCTGGAGAGAGAGAGAGAGAGAGAGGGGGAGAGAGAGAGAGGAGAGAGGGAATGAGGGGAGGAGAGACAATAAGGAGGGGGAGGTTTGCATTTCCTTCTTAAATCATTGCCCAAGAAAGGCTGGGGGGCCCAGCAAGTTGAGCCAAGTTGTTGAGAGATGTGCAGACAGCTAGCAGCATTAACTGCATCTTTCAGCCTCCCTGTCAGTGCAAATGGCCCTCCCCAGGGGAAAGAGGCAAATGTGCCCCTGTTCACAAAAAAAGGCAGGCAGAAATCAGCAACAAAGGGACAGTGTCCCCCCTGTCAATCCTGGTAAGATCCTTAGACAAAATCTCAAGAAAATGACAGTTTCTTTATTACCCTCATATTTGTGATCGTCATATGGCTTCAGGAAGGTTACTCGTGCTGTTGTTTTTAAAACCCTCTCCATAAGGGCCCGCCCTGGTGAATCCAAAGCAGCGTGTGGTAGCACGGGAAAATTGCTGGCGCTTTCGCCCGGGTGTGGCACCAGGGCCTCTTGCAAAACTTCAAGCACGGGGAATTGCGGCCTCGCTATTCTCCTCAGTGATTCCTTCAGGTGATCTCTAAGTGTAGTTTCAATGGAACGGAATCAGAAGAATCCTTTGGGGCAGGTTTCCCCAAAGGAAGTGTGCTGGGTCACTGTTATGGATGTCTACTTACGCCCCTTTTTCATCTCACCCCAAATCAATGTATGCAGAGACTGTACATAACATTCACTTACCCAAGGAAGAAATGCCAGCTGCTCTAAGCTACATAAATTACCAGTGAGAGCTTATCGTTGGGGGAAAATAGTGGAAAGAACATTTGCCCCTGAGAAAAGCAAAATGATCGTCTCAGGCACCTGATGGTAAAGTGGTGGTAGTAAAGGAGAAAGGGGCGATGTTGGCCCTGGAGAAAAAGTTGATATCCTTGGGGTGAAATTTGACTCCAAACTAACCATGAAGAACCATGTTGTAAATTTCAAACAAGGCAGCCCGGAAGCTTTCAGCACTTCGCCGTATCTACTCTGCTTGACAGTAGGGGTTGCAAGACCGTCGAGGCCAAGTCGCTACACCTTGAGTATGCTCCACTTTCTTGGTTTGCCTGTCCCCCCTTCATCTGCGACTGCTTGAAGAGTAGAGAACAGGCAAGAGTTCATCTCTCGCTGGCCCTCCTGGATGGTCTGTCATTTCAGCAGAGCCTAACATAGGAGGGATGTGGGGGGCCTTACTGTTATGTACAAAAGGGCCAATTTGTCAAAATACCCCACTTGGATCCCTTCGAGGACAGCGCGAAAACAAGCTTTTTGCCCCAAAACGGGCAGAAAGCAGCAACTTCACTTGGCTGTACCCCCCTTTCCCGAAAATCATCCACTGAGATCTACATCCCCGGATGACTCGAGTATGGAACCATTGTCAGTAATGTGTCAACGGATAACGTCAGTTGAACAAAAGAAAATGTGGCCCAAGATGGCTCCAAAATTCATCCTGTTCCTACTTGTTGTCTCATAACAATAAAAATGCTTTCAAATGAGTGATGTAGGTAACAGCTCTTAGTTGTCAATAAATTAGGATTCCTTACCTGTAAATAGCTTGTAATAAACCTAGGGGTCCTTAAACCCTTTTCAAACCTTGTAAAAAAAAAAAAAAAAAAAAAAAAAAAAAAAAAAAGAGAGGAGAGAGGAGAGAGGAAGAGAGGGAGGAGGGAGGGGAGAGAGAGAGGGAGGAGAGAGAGGGGAGGGAGAAGAGGAGGAGAGAGAGAGAGGGGAGAGAGAGGGGAGAGAAAGGAGAGAAAAGAAGAGGAAAAGAGAGGAGAGAGGGGGGAAAAAGAGGAGAGAGAGGGGGAGAGGGAAGAGGGAAGAGGGAGAGAGAGAGAGAGGAGAGGAAGAGAGAGAGGAGAGAGAGAGAGAGAGGAGACAGAGAGGAGAGAGGGGGGACGAGGAGGAGAGGAGGGCAGAGAGAGAGGAGGAGACAGAGAGAGAGAAGAGGGGGGAGGAGAGAGAGAGAGGGGAAAAGGAGAGAGAGAGAGAGAGAGGAGAGGGGAGAGAGAGAGGAGGAGAGAAAAGAGAGGGGAGAAGAGAGGAGGAGAGAGGGAGAGGAGGGGAGAGGAGGGGAGGAGAGGAGAGAGAGAGAGGGAGAGGGGAGAGAGAGAGAGAGGGGAGAGAGGAGGAGGGGAGAGAGGAGGAGAGGAGGAGGGGAGAGGAGAAGAGAGAGAGAGAGAGGGGGAGAGAGAGAGGGAGGGAAAGGGGTGGGGGGAGAGAGAGAGGGAGAGAGGGGAGGGGGGAGGAGAAGAGAGAGGAGGGGGGGAGAGAGGGAGAGAGAGAGAGGGGGAGAGAGGAAGGAGAGAGAGAGAGGAGAGAGGGGGAGAGAGAGGAGAGGGAGGAGAGAGAGGGAGAAAGGGGAAAAGGGAGAGAGAGGAGAGAAGGGGGAGGAGAGAGGGAGAGAGGAAGGGAGAGGGGGGAGGAGAGAGGGGGAGGAGAGAGGGGGAGGGGAGGGGGGAGAGAGGGGAGAGGAAGAAGAGGGAGAGAGGAGGAGGGGGAGAGAGGAGAGGAGAGGGGGAGAGGAGAGAGAGAGGAGAGGGAGAGGAGAGAGGAGGGGGAGAGAGGAGAGGGGAGAGAGGAGAGTGGAGGAGAGAGGGGGGAGAGGAGAGGAGAGGAGGGGGAGAGAGGAGAGAGGAGAGGAGAGAGAGAGAGGAGAGAGAAAGGGGAGGGAGGGAGAGAGGGAGGAAAAGAGGGAGAGGAGGGAGAGAGAGAGAGGGGAGAGAGGGAGAGAGAGAGAGGGAGAGAGGAAGGTGAGGAGAGAGGAGGAGGGGAGGGAGGGGGAGAAGGGAGAGAGGGGAGAAGAGAGAGAGAGGGAGGAGAGAGAGGAAGGGGGGAGAGAGGGGGGGAGAGAGAAGGGGGAGGAGGAGTGAGAGGAGAGAGAGGGGAGAGAGGAGAGAGAGAAGGGAGAGAGAGAGGGAGAGAGAGAGGGGGGGAGAGGAGGGAGGGGAGAAAGAGGGAGAGGGGGGAGGAGAGAGAGAGAGAGAGAGGAGACTAAAAAAATGTTTTTCTACTGTTACGGTTTTGATTGAGGAAATTTTTCCTTTCCACAAATTGTTTACTTGCTATTTTAAAGTTATGACAAGTTTTTTTTTATTTGTGTGTGCTAAAAAAAAAAATGAACTTTAGAAAAATATTTAATTGGGGGATAAAGACCCTCAAAAAACAGGCACACAATTTAAACCCCTTTCCTGTCCAGCCCCAAAATTTAATATTGCTTTCGGTATCCACTTTAAAAAAAGAAACTTCTGGTGGCAGAGAATCTTTTTTTTGAAGGTTATGCATGAACAGTATGAAATTTGATGGAAACTTATAAAAATTTAAGGGATAAAGTTAGTGGGCTTGGGGGATTTATGCCAGTGATTTTGCCTTTGGGTATCCCTTTTAACCCAATTCCCAATTTTCAAAACAACCATATTTTAACTTTACATAGTACCCCTTTGTTTTTTTTTTGACTAAGCACAAAAAACTCCCCCATTCAATATTTAAAACCCCCCTTTTAAAGTGTCAAAAGTTGACAATTTGGAAAATTTTACACAAAATTAAAAAATACAATTTAAAAACAGGTCCACAATTAAAATGTAGCATTCCTGGCATTTAAAACATTTCCCCTGTTTATTAGTCACATCCCCAAGATCTCCTATTTACACTTGCCTTCCCCTTTGAATTTATTCACAAAAAAAAATTTACTCTATTTCAGATAAAAATATACCCGAAAAGACTAAACATGATTTAAAATCTCAAATTTAAACGAATCAGACTATTAAAAAAAAAATAAAACAGACTTTGGGGGGGGGGGGGGGGAGCCTTTTCGTCCTCTGGAATATTGATTAGTAAAACAAATATTTCTGCTATGTTGAGTCTGGGAAATTTATCAAAATATCTCTATTTCGTGGTACCATGAAAAAAGGGAATAAACCCTAAAAACCACCCCCAAAAAACACCCTTAAAAGTCGACTGTAAACCCTAAAACCGTCACAGTTTCCTTTTTTCCCGGGACACCCATGTGGGGGGGAGGATTTTTTTTGGTACAGCTTACCGCCGACCCTTCTTTCATTCTAATCAAAATTTTTTGCTCGTGCTTTCTGAGTGAGCAGAGCTCATGACGTAGCTCTACATAAAAAGACAGCAAAAGGGTTTTAAACCCAGCCCGAAAATCTGAGAAAGTTTCTGCATAACACCTTACTCTCTAGCAGGAAGGAAATTTGATAAAAAAATGCTGACAAAGTGCAGAAAATCCTTGGCCAGTTTTACCTTTCCTCCATTTGTGTTTAGCTTCTTAACCCTAAGTACCCAATCACTATGTACTCTTAAAGAGTGTACTAAAAAAACGATGATGCCTATCAACCAAAAAAAAAAAAAAAAAAAAAAACAGTCAAAATTTAAATTTAACTGAAAAATTTTTGGGGTTTACACAGAAAAATGGGTACTGATACCCTTGCCAAAAAAGGCAAGGGGTTTTAAAAAGATAGCAAAATTTTTAATTTTTTCATAAAAAAACACAAAGGGGGAATAAGTCTATAAACCAATGCATTACAAGGTTAAACTGCAAGCTTTCAGGGAACATAATATTCTAATAAAAAGTGAACAACCATCCCCGCTATTAAGGAGGGATAAAATTTTTTAAAAACACGAGACAAAGCTTTGACTCGAATGTATTCCAACTACAGCATTCAGTTGATAAAATATAACTTACAATTATCCCAATTAGCTTTTTAAAAATATAGATTAAGATAGACAATTAAATTTATCAAAACCCTGTATGTTCAAGAATGAATCGTTCTATTCAAACCCTTTAACACTGAAAAATTATTACAATTTACTGCCTCTCACAGAAGAATCTCCCCATCCATGCAAGCCAATTACCCATGAGAAAACATTCTCAGGTCCTACCCGTCCCTGACGGTTGACACTGGAGGAGGAGCTGCCCAGTTTGCGTAAAGTGGACTTAATCAAATTCTGTGTGTTTTAAAGAAGAAAGTTTTAATGTTTATAATAACACCAAAAATGTTCCATGATCTGTCATCATCAATACCTCTAAATCAATGATCCAGTAGGAAAAAAGTACACAAGTCATTACAAGTTTGCCTCTAACATAACTCAATAACTGAAAAATTTTCATAATTTTAATAATTTAACTTTTTGTTCCTTTTCATTATAAGGTTAACTTCAAGCTCAGAGCAAACCTAATTTATCTGCATAGTGTGCATTCTTGTAATGATACTGTACATGAAGCTGGACATGGTACTCAATATTCTATATGAATTTTGCAGTTACAGTAATTATATCTTTTTCCAATACTACAGGCTCATTTCAGAGAAAAACTTGAATTTAGAGGTTGAAAAATATATCAAATACCACAATAAGGTAAAACCAAGGTGAATATAAGAAAGTATATAGTTTTCATGTAGGGTCTAGTTATGTATCGGAGGATATGCTGAAAAACAGCAGCTCTGCACTCACCCTTGAAACCATGACTTCTAATACGATCCGCCATCACAATCTGGCAATCAGACATCGGTTCCATCAGTTATTCGGCACTAATTTCGGCTAGTATAATTTCAAAAAATTTTCCCGGGTCGCCACATAACCTGTGGTACTGATTGGTGGCACTACTTATGCATAAGTCATTCCAATTTCTTTTTCTCCATTTTTGTTATAACCTGCTTGCTTTTAGCCCTAGCCATGGTTCCCAAAGAATAAAAGAAATGCTTCTTGTTGTGTAACGCACCTACACAGTACATTGTCCATTAAAGAAAGGCGACTTTGAAGCCACTGTCGGCTGCTATGAGTCAGTCTCGTGATGCAGGGGGAATATGCTTTATTATTACGCTAATATCAACAACTACAGCTTATTTGCCTATCACGATTGATCTAATATGACATAATAAACAATATAAATAACATAAAAACATGTTCAATACTCCAGAAGAATAATATTTGGCATAATACCAAGCAGTTCAATGAAGTATGAAGAGGATATGGGATACAAGTACCATTCTCTATCCCTGTCTTGGGGGCTTATATTAGAGAAAACAGGGGTGTAGCACAGGGCCTAAATGTGATAACACTCATACTGCACCATAAAACTGAAACAAAAAAAGCTTATTTTTCTACATAGATTATCACACATAGCAGCATATGTGTAGAGAGCCAAGGATAACCCAAAGTCAGAGAAAGTGGCTTATTTCTATATATGATTTTTGGTAAATATTCGATTCCAGCCGGGGTGGTAGAAACATTGAGTGTGTTTCTTTACAATGTTGTCTATGTTCACCCATCAGAAAATGGGTCTGGGTGTCAGTGGCTGGTGTGGCTTTTATCCTGGGACAATGACCTAATTTGTCTGAAATGCTTTAGCATAAACAAGGGGCTTTCTTTATGTAGTATGTCACTGATGTCAGCTGGGCCCTGTATTACCATACACATGTATGTGTAGTAAATAAAGTTATTATTTTTATTTTTTTCACTCTCTCAGATGTTTGTGGGGCTATCTTAATGAAACTTAGGCAATGTATGATGGAAAGATGCTTCTTTTAAATTTTTTTTTTTTTTTTCTACAAGTCGGCCTCTCCCACCCAGGCGGGTGACCCCAAAAAAAAGAAAGAAAATCCCCAAAAAGAAAATACTTTCATCATCATTCAACACTTTCACCACACTTGCACATTATCACTGTTTTTGCAGAGGTGCTCAGAATACAACAGTTTAGAAGCTTACAATATAAAGATACACAAATATCCCTCCAAACTGCCCCAAAATCCAAACCCCTCCTTTAAAAGTGCAGGCATTGTACTTCCCATTCCAGGATCAAGTTCCGACTATATGAAAATAACCCGGGTTTTCCCCGAATCCCTTCACTAAATATTACCCTGCTCACACTCCAACACATCGTCAGGTCCCAAGTACCATTCGTCTCCATTCACTCCTATCACGCATGCTTGCTGGAAGTCCAAGCCCTTGCCCACAAAAACCCCCTTTACCCCCTCTCTCCAACCCTTTCGAGGACGCCCCCTCCCCCGCCTTCCTTCCCTATAGATTTATATGCTTTCCATGTCATTCTACTTTGATCCATTCTCTCTAAATGACCAAAACCCACCTCAACAAACCCCTCTTCTGCCCTCTGACTAATACTTTTTTTAAAACTCCACACCTTTTCCTAATTTCCACACTCCGAATTTTTGCATAATTTTTACATCACACATTGCCTTAAACAGGACATCTCCACTGCCTCCAACCGTCTCCTTGTGCTGCATTTACCACCCAAGCTTCACACCTATATAAGTGTTGGTTCTACTATATTTTCTTTACATTCCTTCTTTGCCTCCATAGATAACGTTTTTTGACTCCACATATACCTCAAGCACCATCACCTTTTTTCCCTCATCAATTCTATGATTAACCTCATCCTTCATAAATCATCCATGACACGTCAACTCCCAAGTATCTGAAAACATTCACTTCTTCCTTTACTCCTCCTCCCAATTTGATATCCAATTTTCTTTATCTAAATCATTTGACAACCCTCATGCCTTACTCTTTTCTATGTTCACTTTCAAACTTTCTACCTTTACACACATTCCCAAACTCATCCACTAACCCTTTTCAATTTTTCTTTAGAATCTCCCCTTAAGCACAGTATCATCAGCAAAAAAGTAACTGTGTCAATTCCCATTTTGGATTTGATTCCCCAAAATTTAATCCCACCCCTCTCCCGAACACCCTAGCATTTACTTCCTTTACAAACCCCATCTATAAATATATTAAAACAACCATGGTGACATTACCATCCTGTCTAAGACCTACTTTTTCCAGGAAAATAGTCTCCCTCTCTTCTACACACCCTAACCTGAGCCTCACTATCCTCATAAAAACTCTTTACGCATTTAATAACTTACCAACCTATTCCATATACTTGCAACATCTGCCACATTGCTCTCTATCCACTCTATCATATGCCTTTTCTAAATCCATTTAAAAGCAATAAAAACTTACCTACCTTTATCTAAATACTGTTCCAAATATGCTTCAATGTAAACACTTGATCTACACATCCCCTACCCACTCTGAAACCTCCTTGCTTTATCCGCAATCCTACATTCTGTCTTGCCTCTAATTTTTCAATTATAACCCTACCGTACACTTTTTCCCGGTATTTCTCAGTAAACTTATTCCTCTATAATTTTTTACAGTTCTTTTGTCCCTTTCCCTTTATTAAAGGGATTATACATGCTCTCTGCCAATTTCCCAGGTACCTTCCCCTCTTTCATTACATTTATTAAACAAAAGTACCAACCCACTCCAACACTATATCCCCCCTGCTTTTAACATTTCTGTCATGATCCCATCAGTTCCAGCTGCTTTACCCCCTTTCATTTTACGTAAAGCCTCACGTACCTCACCCACACTTACATTCTGCTCTTCTTCACTCCCAAAAGATAGTATACCTCCCTGACCAGTGCATGAAATTACTGCCTCTGTTTCTTCCCTTTAAAATTTAAAAAGTTTTCCCCAAAATATTCTCGCCATCTACCTAATACTCCATCTCCCCACTACTAACTCCCCTACTCTGTTTTTAACTGACAAATCCATACCCTTTTCCCCAGGCTTTCTTAACTTGTTTAACTCACTCCAAATTTTTTCTTATTTTCATTAAATTTCTTGACAGTGCCTTTTCCCCCTCTATCATCTGCTCTCTTTTGCACTCTGTCACCACTCTCTTTACCTTTCTTTTACTCTCCATATACTTGCTCTTCTTATAACACTTTCTGCTTTGTAAAAACCTCTCTAAGCTACCTTTTTCTCTTTTATCACACCCTTTACTTATCATTCCACCAATCACTCCTCTTTCCTCCGCCCCCACCTCCTATACCCCCACACTTTTGCCCCACATTTTTAATACGGGATTTTTAAAACTATTCCAACCCTCTTCAACCCCCCCCCCCCACTACTCATCTTTGCACTAGCCCACCTTTTGCCAATAGTCGCTTATATCTCACCCGAACTTCCTCCCCCCTTTAGTTTATCACTTTCACCTTCCTCTTACTTGTTGTTGCCACCTCCTCTTTTCCCCATCTACCTCTTACTCTAACTGTAGCTACAACTAAATAATGATCCGATAAATCAGTTGCCCCTCTATAAACATTTTAACATCCTTTGGAGCCTACCCATCAACCTTTTATCCACCAAATTACATAATCTAATAAACTACTTTCATTTACGTGCTACATCATACCTTGTATATTATTTATCCTCTTTTTCATAAAATATGTATTATTATTCCCAAATCTCTTTCTACACTTTAGCTAAATTAAAGGCTCCCATTTACATTTCCCCCTTGGCACCCCAAATTTACCTACTACTCCCTCCATAACATTTTTACCACTTTAGCATTGAAATCTCCAACCACCATTACTCTCACCTTGATTCAAAAATCCCACGCATTCACTCAACATTTCCAAAATCTCTCTCTCTCCTCTACACTTCTCTCTTCTCCAGGTGCATACACGCTTATTATAACCCACTTTTCACATCCAATCTTTATTTTACTCCACATAATCTGGGAAATTTAAAACATTTATAGTCCTTCTTTTCCTGCCATAGCTTTTCCTTCAAAATATTGCTACTCCTTTCTTTAGCTTAACTCTATTTGAAACCCCTGACCTAATCCCATTTATTCTCTCCACTGAAATCTCCACCCCCTTCAGCTTTGTTTCACTTAAAGCCAGGAATCCAGTTCTTCTCATTCATAACATTTCCCCAATCATTCTTTTCTTATCATCTGCACAACATCCATGCACATTCAGACTTCCCACTTTGTACACCAAAAATGAAAGAAATCAGGCCATAAATAATGGAGTTCATTTCTCAGCCATTAGCAGCCCATAGTGGTATATTTATGTATTTTTTTTTTGGTTGTATTCTCGTTTTTTTTTTTTTAGTCTCATTTGATAGAATGGAAG